CAATTAGATTAGAGTTTCGCAGACGCAGCTATTGTCTATTTTGCTTGAGGTCGCTTACGTATTCACGTAGAACACATCTAGTGCGCTTGCCAAACAGCCACTGAACTTTGAGAGGATTTATCATTCGCGGAAGGCTTCTTTTACGATCATTCTTCCGTGAATGCAAACTTTGTCATCTAACAATGTTCGGAGAAGCTTACAGAATTAGATATGTATTAAAATAATTCATCCAACTTCATGTATCTCATTATATCCAAGTCAAGCTATTCTTGGTATACTTTGCATCACCGTTAAATAAACAAAAGTATACAAGACATCACTATTAAGGGAGCTGTTTCTTGAAGAACTCTTGAACAGAGTATAGAATATCAACTGAGAAGGAAATCGTGATGAAGAAGAGGATAGAAAAGAAAAAAATAACGTGCGTGTGAGCAGAATAATGGAGGAGGAGAGAAAAATATAAAGTAGTCTTGTCCAAGAGGAAATTTACTTTTATCGATGCATGCATCTTTGTTCCACCTACACAAAGGCACCTAAGCAGACAGGTACAAATACAATACGTACACACATCAAGATCGCCCACGTGCGGTGAGTGTAACTTGATTGCACACATGTAACGCTTAATATGATGCAATGCGAATTAAATGCGAGTAAAAAGGAAAAGAGAAGCAAGAACGAAAAAAATGTTGCCACTGCGGCTGAATCGAAAATATATAATTATCTAATCTACGGCTTCGCGGAACGCGGTTGACGAAATATCTATATTGGAGAACTCTGAGATCTTCAACGCAAACAATAGCGCGTGAATGCTGAGTTCTTCTTCGTTTCTCGACATCTATCACCTATTCTCTTGCGTGCCATTTTTGCTGAATTTGAAATTAACTAGATGAAATTTTAATAAAACGTATTACCTATTGTAATCTGAAGATTTCTTACGTTAACTATTTTCAAGTATTCTAATTTTTAAAATAAGATTTGACACAAAGGAGTAATTTCTTTTTTTATAGATAGATTAATAAAAAATCAAATACAAAAGTATACAATAAGTTTAAACGTTCCATATAATGTAATTGTAAACTTTAATCGATGCTATAATTGTAATTGTAGTTGATATTATATTATTTGCATATATTGATTTTTCTATTATATATAATATAAATGCACAAAAGCAGATTTTAAACGTAAATAAATTAATAAAAGAATAAATTTTATATATGAATATATATGTGAGTCTGGATAATCTGATATGACGCAAATGATAAAAAATAGAAAAACAAGGGGATAATACTCGGAATAATTGCCACCAAAATTCAATGACTTGTTAGTTTTTGGAAGATAAAAAAGAAGAAGTCAACGATGACTTCTGGAAACACTGAGATTAACCGAAAATATCTGAATAACGAATTCTCATTATAGATATACGTCGAAACACACTGTACAAACAATAAAAAAATTTCGCGATGTCGAATAGAATAAGAATGAGCATATAAAATTTATGAATTATAAAATATAAAAATTTATGTATGAATATATATAATATATGATAATATGATAAATATATAAAAGAGAAGAGAAAACATAGAGTTTATAACGTTTAATGTATACATATTAAATTATTTTAAATACTATTTTATTATTATTATTACTATAAATATATACATACTTTAAATACATATTGATATACATACTGTAAATTAATTATTTTTTTATCTTTTATTACCGGAAAATACCATCGCGAAACAATTCGCGTTTTGATCTTAAACATAAAAACAATTTAATTGGTAATTAATTCTCTGTTTACAAATGCTTTGCCAAATGTATTATGTTTTTGTGCGGATTTTAATGGTTGTTTTAGATTAATTCCTTCATACCGTTACTTTGCATTCTTGATTTTTGGAGATTTCGCAATACGTTCGTGGTTTTTGCCATCTCGAAAAGTTGGTTTAACTTTAGCTTGGTTTAAATCTGCTAGTTTAAGGCTTTTGTTTTCACCGTGATTGCCTCGTGCACGTCGTGCACAGGCATTACAACAAACAAAAGTTCATACATGATACATGGCGCGTCAACTAACAATAAGAAATACGATTCTGTGAAATTACCATCCTTTGATTTCGAATTATTTTCTCTTTCTGATAACATTAATTTTTCTTGCTGCTTTCTTTAAACTGTTTATCTTTTTCCATTGATTTATCGACAAATACAATGCAATTTTTAGGTGTACACTGTTTTTCTTTATTTTAGAGAGTATCTGATTGGTATCGTTTAACTCTGATGGACGATTTCCGTTTATTCCGCTTATTTATATTGTATCTCTTATCATAAATTTTTAGAAAATACTTTTATTACTTTTAATTCTAATTGTGAACTTTAATTTTGTCTATTAATTAGACAGTATATTAAAGTATCAATTAATTTATTATGTTTGTGTTATTCCTATAATTTCTAATTTCCTAATTAAAGTAATTTAGTAAAAAATTATTTTTACAGTATGTGTACTATTTTGAATTATCTAATATATATTAAAGTTTGACTTGAGAATGAAGACAAACAAAGAGATCTCAAATATTGTTTTGCTGCGGATAACATTGGAAATATGTAAAAACACATAAGACGAATAAATATTTTTATTTTACTGTGAAAGTTTGTTATTCTTATTTTTATCTTTGAGATTCTTTTTCTGTTTGTGCGCTCTATGCTGCTCAATTTACAATGTTATATTTTTCTAGTAATTTTAAAATTAAAAATTTCGGAATTTTTTTTTTTTTGGTTTCTATGTTCTTTAATGAGAATTATGTTTCTAAAGATTTAATTTAAATTAATGATATAACTTTCTAAGAATACGATATAGAAAAGAAAAACGCGTTTCATGCAATTAAGATATGCTTAATTTTTCGAAACAACGCTTACATGTTTTGTCATGAGATTCTTGGTAATACATTTTAAACATGAAATCTTATGTTCAAGAGAAAAAGCCAATCGGTTTTTTCCTCGTAAAACATTCATGAAACTAAGAAATGGTCAAAATTCGAAAAATAAATGATAAGCTATAATTATGTATTTTTATGAGTTATTCTATATGTCTTATACATAACTTTTGGGCGAGACATACAGAACGTTATTATTAAACACTACGATAGGAAAAAATAGTAAAAAATAAATAAACATAAAATTTTTAATTTGTAAATTCTTTATTTCAAAAATCCGAAAAATAAGAGAAAATTTTCTTTATTTTTATAATTTATTACTTTAATTTATTATGTAATTGTGGTTTATTTCGTGTTTGCATGATTCACGTAGTGAATCTAAAGTTAATGATTAATTTTTAAGTAATGTTCTTAGATAGGACAAGAAATAACAGATGGTCTTGTCGTATTCTGTGATGTTTAGATAAACGCGAGACTTGACACATAACATTTGACACTTTTTATATTATACAATAGCTACTTTGCATTTGTGAGAATGACAAGCGGCGTATCGGCGTCAGATTATTGTCCCGAAGAAAAGAGCAAACATACGGTTTATTTACTTACTTACCTTAACATCGGCAATGTGCGTCAAACTGTCTATTTTTAGTCTTCTCTGTTTTCAGTTAGAACGTTAAGAAAAAATACGGTAGCGCATGGAACAGGTGCCGAAAAGCCACAAATAGTAACAAGGGGGCGAGGGGGGTAAAGGAACGATGAGATGAATTTAAGAGTCGCGATATGTACGCATTATTTTAATGCGCCCGATTGAATGCACCGTACGTGCGTTCGTTGTTTTCACTCGAGGGTCGTTTAAACCATGTTTATACAGGGATAGTCACGAATCTACATTTATGCTGCCACGTAGTAAGACGATCTGATAAATTCGGCAACTTGTCCTGAACAAAACTGTCTAAATCCTAAAAGTTTCTAAGTTATGAACAATTAGAAATGAAAAACTTCTTGCATACCTTGAGAGTTGTTAATAAAACGAAAAAATATTATATCATAAATCGCCGCAAGTAGAATTGAAAGCACTCGTATATTGAATCGCTGTTTTTTAAAAATGAAAACAGTTTTAAAACAAATTAAAACACCTTATTAAAAATAGATATAGATTACATAATATTTGAATAAAAAAACGCAGCACATAGAGTTAGTTATATTCAATTTGATTAAATTATTACGATTTCGTGTGTGTGAAATATTTGACGAAATATTTATATTCTCAAGAGTTGTATAATATATTTGTTGAAGATTGTCAAATATTCTAATATGTTTTAAGAATGATTACGGTTCCTTTATTTATTCAAAAGATTATATAGAATTCTTTAGATATTACAATACAAAATAATTATAGCATACATAATTTATTTTTAACATATAAAACTATAACTCGCGCGCGCACACAATTAATTGCGATATATTTAAACATTACCTTAAATATAATTTTTGCTATTTAAAAAATTAAAATTGTTTTTACAAAAAATTGAAAGCCTTATTTTGACAAAATAATATATGTTATTAATTACACGCGAAATTTAAAGCTTATTTTTATATTTATAATTATACAGTTAAGAATTTATCTACTTAAATTTAATAAATAAGACTATAAAATAAGATTGTAATTACCTGTTGCTGTAACAAATTATAGTTTTATATGTTGTATTATAACAAATAATAATTAACATAGATAAAAAATATGATAATTCGAGCGTAAAATTAAGTGTGTGGATATTTTAAATCTAGTACGAAAATATATACATTAATTTTGAAGAAATTTTCTGTACCTTGCCAGATTCAGTGGAGTATCCATTTAAACCCGCGCTTTTTTCTCTTCTTTTCTAACTAAACTAAAATGATTTATTACAAACATAGATTAAGTAAACATACAGATTATTATATATGTATGTATCAGCAATAAAATTTTTTATAAAAATTATTATTATATTAAAATAAGATTTTGCATTTGTCGTATATGTGTATAATTTTAATTTTGAATATTATTTTCTTTATAACTTTTGTTTCAATGCGAGCTTTTGCTCTCACTTGCTTTTATTCGTTTTCGCTATTCTCACTAGAAATCGAAGAATCAGACGAATCACACGTATACTCGGTGTAATCATCACTCGTATAACAATTGCAGTCTGAACAGGTACAGTCGCTCGAGTGTGATGATTCGGATGAGGAGGATGATAAAGATGAATATAATGACGGATACAATGACTCCTCAGAATAATCGCTGCCAGAATCCGATGACTCTTTGCTTTCTGTAACAGAGAGAAAAAAAGAAACGAGAGATTAGTTCCGGAAATATCATGGATTTGAGAAACAACAATGTGATTCTCATATGCGAAAATTCCCGGTAGAATCAATCAAATCGTTGGACAAGAGTTTTGTATAAATTGCAACGATAAAGATTAATTATAGTAACATTTGATATATATAAAAAAAGATAAGAGATTCTTTAAATTATTTCATGGCGCACATATCTAAGCAGATCGATAAAAGCTTGATTTTATTTGATTGATGTTTTTCGTGTGAAATACATACCTTTAAATTCTGCCATGGTATTAAAAGATAATTAAATAAGTATAAATAAATAAAAACTTAAATAGAAACTAATTAATATAATTATTAATTATATATAATAATATTAAATAAATAGTTTGAAAATAATAATGATATTATCATTTTCAATTATTATAATGACAATTATAATAATATTTATAAATAAAGCATTTGCGCGCATGCGGATACATTAGAGAATTTGATCGATATTAAAATTGTAGAAGACGTTTTACCTAAATTATTTCTTATGCATTCCATTTTTCTTTTGACAACTGATATTTCATGACTAAGTTTAGCCATAGCTTTTGCTGCCTTTTTAGTCTTTCTAAGTTCTCTTCTTTCCTCTAATTGTTTTACAGCTCTCGATAAATATTGCTCATATGTGCGACAATGTTCCGCGCATTCTTCTGAAAAATGTGTAATAGTAATTATTAATTAATATTAAATTGTTGGAGATAGCATTTGACAATATACTTGAAATATAAAAATATTCTGGATATTCTTTTACTTGTGCATTGACTTTCGGTATTCTCCACATTATTTCTTAATGGCTTAGAAGATGTTTTTGATGTAGCGCTTTTAGGCAATTTGTCTTTACAGCTTTTCAGATTTTTTAATTTGTTAGAAATTTCCTTGTCTGAAAAATATATGTTATTATCATCAAAAATAGAGAAAAAATATATTTTGTTACAAAATTATTGCTTATTGTACAAAACAAAATAATTTGTTGAAGAATTAGATAATAGAAACACTTTTCTTACTTTTGAACTCGCATTTCTCATCTACTACATTACATTTCATCGTATTTTTGCATAATTTTGTTTCGACGTTTTCTTCTAATACATTTTTGGGTTCTTCCACTTTTAAATTATCATCTTTATCAGAAACTTTTGTATTATCTAAAAAAAAATTATGGTTATTATAAAAATAAATTATACGATATTTATATGACACATATGTTAAATATATGTCATACTACCAAATAATTTATGCAAAACAAAAAAATATTGTGTGTGCATGTACTTTATTTCTTTTTAGTTTGATATGTTTTATTTTTTACATTGTCTTTCAACACTTTACTGTATTTTTAGATTTGACGTTTTCTTCTACATTATTTGTTAATTTTTCTAATTTTATATTTTTTTAAATCTATTTTACTAAGAAGCTTTGTGTAATTAAAAGAAAACATTATTGTTAAAATAATTTATAGAAGAAAAGAGGACAAATATTTTAAATGTTTTTTTTTTATACTTGCATTGCATCTTTTTATGCTTCACTTCACTTTTCAACGCGTTGAAATTTTCTTTTATTACACTTCAAATTGTTCTCAAGAGTTTTTCTATATTCATAATATATTATTTGTAGAAATTAATAAAAAAGAATATAATCGGTTTCATTTACCTTCACCTTGACAATGCTCCGTATCTTTCACTTTCTTTTTCAACATTTTTTTTTGACGCTTTTTTTTTTGGTGCTTGATATATTTCTTCGATGTATTTTCAGAATCTGTCATCTTTCGTTTTTTTGTATTTGCGGTCGACTTTTCGTCTTTTGCCGTTTCTCCTACTGTTTTAGACAACTCTTTTTTGGGTGTGCTTGTTAGCAGATTTGTATCAGTTGTATTTGTTACGTCTTTCTTGTTTACTTTTTTGACTGATTCGTTAACGGCAATCTCTTTGACATTAGGTTCTAAAGTTTTCCGAACTGCTCTTTTCGCATCATCTACACTGCGTTGGAGTTCTTGCGAAGGCGTTTTTTCTATCATCTTGGGAGTTCGTTTTGTTGAAGCTTTCTTTTTTGTCTGAACCTTGGTTTTGGGTTCGAGCATATTATGCATATTTGATGAAGTCTCTTCAGAAGTCGTTGAATCCTTAATCGCGGATTTTTCCTTTGGTTGTTTCGATTTTTTTTTCGCAGCGCTATGACCTATAAAGATATTTTATTAATAAATACATTACAAAATTTTAAATAATTTTTACTCATATTAATTTAATTCAATAATATCCTCATGTATGTATTCTTATTTATTATTATAATTTTATTCTTATATTATAAATCTAGTCATACAAGCTCTTTGATAATATTTGGTAAATAACATTATTATTCGGAGAATAGTTTAAAAAATCGTTTAAAATATCTATAATAAAATTATAATAAAACAAGAGTAAGACATTTTGTATGAAATCTCGTTGTAGCTCTTACTTGCTTTGGAAGCCTTTTGTTGCGTAATCATATCATCGAATTCATTCAACACATTCTGGATGCAAGCGGCGTCACTTTTTTCAATTTCCGCGATGTTTTTCCAAGGATCGGATTGTATAATATTATCAATGTAATGGTCGATGGAATCATCCGCACCAGCAAATGACAACGCGGATCTTCTTTGTACATTTTTATGACTTTTCGTGTTACGACTCATATTTGGACCTTAGCACTTTTCAAGAAGTATCCTGTGAAGATCAATAACATACATTTATTTTTCTTACAATATAATCGAGAATTGACGTAGCACGTCCTTTATGATATGTCTTTGTGATTATAATTCCGATATGTCAACAGTTATTCGGCGAGAAATTTTAAGCAAAATTATATACTGCGAGTTATATTTTTACAATTTCAAGAAATCAGGGAAAGTATATATGATTTACTTACATATATCATAAAAATTCTAAGAGCTTCTTCCCGTTTTTCTCGTAGATCGATTTCTTTATGACTTGTCTTGTAAACGCGCGATTAACGTATTATTTAAAGAAACCAAGTAAAGAAACACGCATATTCTCGCGAAATAATAGTGTAGAAAAATGTTAACTATCATGAGAATTGCGAACCGCGCATATATACTAATTATAAACGTTACATCAGCACGTTCAAGGAAGACTGTTTGAATTGTGTTTATATGAATTTAAATGTTCTCAGATCCTTACCAGAAAAACTGATGTTTTCTTTTATGTCCTTACCGATGTCTATCATATAAATAAGAAAATATTTTTATAATATAGATACATACAAAGATAATTATAACTGTGGCAACGTGTACAACATGATTATTAAGAAGCTTGAATAATTTATTCGTCATATATATAATGTATTATCTAATATATTGAACATATATAATATGTATGTACACATGATTTATATACTGTTAATATTTGAACATTTTTTATTATTTTAGATTTAAAAAGTTGAATTTTGAAATATATTATATGAAATATATAATATGAAATATTTATTATATAGATCTGTTCTGTGATTCTTTTACTAGTTAAATTTACTTATTTTATTATAAACACATTCAAGCATTATCAAAAATAGAAAAGAATAATATTTTAGAGAGACTTATTGAAAAATATTTTAGGAATAAATCCTGTTTTTTTTTTCTAATTTGGAATCAGAGAGAGAGAGAGAGAGAGAGAGAGAGAGAGAGAGAGTTTTTTTTATCAGACAAAAAAATTTATTCTGCCAAAAGCATTTTTCTTTTAACATTAAATAACTTTCTAATAACATGTTAATTTCTCTTTTCATGAGAAAAAGTTCAAATTTGTTAAGAAAGATACTCTTTTAAGGCGGATATTCTGTTAGATATGACATTTTTTATACGAGGGATGGCAATTATAAAGCATAAAACCAACAAGCTAAAGATTCAATATACATATTTGCATCACAATCTCAGGCTTTACGTCGCAATTTCTTTGTGTGCGTGTGTGTTGTACTTTTCTTATGTAGCGTTACAACTATATCGATACATAGCACAGGCATGCGTAGGTAGAAGAGAACGTCAGAAAAACCGGATTATTGAACGTGCCCTCTCGATAAGATGGAATAGAGCTTAGTGACGTCATCGCCGGCGCACGAGCGTTTTTTCTTACACAGCTAGACGGCTTACGGTAGGCGCGTAATACCTGATCGATCGAGTGGAATAAAAGGGCTTTATGGCGTCACACGACCCGCGATGAGATCACTTGGTCGCAAATGATATCACTATATACTCCCACTGCGTCGGCCGTAACGTCATTCATTTTAAACATCGAGAAAAATGAAGTCGAGGAAGTTAATTGTTTTATAGGGCAGAGACAATTTTTTCTTCTATATGTCAGTTTATTTTTGACAGTGGGTAAAACCACTTGTTACGCTCCAATGACAATTTCTTTTTAGTTATTTTTGGTCTGTGTGTTAATAGAGAATAAACATATTGCATTAATAGATATAACTGTATTCTGAATTTGTAAAAGATATTCAGTTATCTCGCTCTTCTGCAAAATGAAAGTATGGGCGTTTAAAATCTAGAATGGCATAAAATATTTAGTTTGTATAATCAAATACTGAAGATGCGAAATATATGTCGTTGTAAAAAAAAAAAATAGATTTTATAATATAGTATTTAAAAAAATATACAATATACTTTTTTGCGCACTATTAGAGATATCTTAAATTATAAAATTCTGAGATAAATATCATATCTTTTTTTATACAAATAGGCATTCTCGAATCGACAGATAATGATTCTGTGAATCAAGATATACATTGACAGTTAAATAAAATTTATTAGCCAATTTTCAATAAATAGTCATCACCTCACGCACTCTCTCATCTTTTAATATAATATTTACATACGTGGAACTGCCAGCGCGACTTGGTATCCGATCAGTGTAATTCTATGATTTTGCAAGATCGTTTTTATTCGGTTTATGAGTAAAATAATTTGATAATTTTTAAAGATGATTATTATTGACGACAATAATTAGCGAACTTTACACTTCACATGACGCTATTGTTATAATTTGTGCAATTTTGCATCTTGGATGGCAAAAGAAAAAATAAAAGTTCTTTTTCACATTTTATATTTTTGCGCAAATCAGTATTTACGAATACGTCAATCTAACGCTATATTATTAATATCAGATAATTTCAGAAAATGGAATACTGGGTATAATTTCAAGATAATATTGGACTTCATTTTAGGCCATATAAATAAACATCTCCTAGAAAAAATACTTATATGTGTATATATAGAGAGTGTCGCAAATGTCCCGGAATGGTCAAATATCTCGAAAATAAAGCATTTTTGAGAAAAATGTTTCAAATAAAAGTTGTAGGGTTTTAAGTGGCGCACTAAGTAGCAATGTTAGTGACTTTAAATAGCATTGTTAAAGTCATGTAAAAATCACGGGATTTTTAGGACATCTCGTATATATACATATAGAAAAATTTATATTTTATATGTAATATTTTAATATGTAGTTTAATTTCATATTTCTGTAGCAAAATCTATACATAAATTCGCTAACATTATATCCATTGTAAAATCACAAATTAATTTACTTCCTATAATAATCACGTTAACACCAAATTGATCCATGCGCGTAGCAATCAAGAAGTAATTATATGTTAAGTACACATGAGATTATTAAAATATAATTATTGTATTGCTAGTATAGTAATATCATAATTTTAGAATTTCTGAATATGCATACATTTTATTGCTATCGAAACGAATATTTTCCAAGCTAAACAAGTGGTATACACTTTTGCGAGATGTTACTAATGTGCGAAATTTGAAAATTCAAGGTCTCATATCGTTACTATGTTACAGCTATATTTGCTCGTACAGAAACATAGAATTACAGATAGATTTTATAAATAATTCACGTGAAAGATTTGCACATAGTTTTGCAAGTAATAATAACAATCGCAATTGTTTAATCGACACACGATAAGGAAACTGGTTTTTAGATCTCCAATTACGATTAATTTATCTAAAATTACATGTATAATGTTATTTATAATTACATGTATTCTAGATAAAAAAGAACGCCTATATATATTACAGTTTCTATATTACTTTAGGAAATATATAAAGATATATTGCATCTCTCTTTTTTTATGTATCATAAAAAATTATATCATACATTTTTATATATACGCTGAATAAAGCCAGCAATGCACATTAAAACATATCTGTAAATAAGATTTTCTTTGATATTTCTACGATCAAAACGTGTCAGTAATTCTTTAGTTATCTTTCTACATCAATCAACAAATTCTTTAAAAAAGCACGCGGTTACGCCATTGCGAATATAAAACGGAGGTTGACGATTCTTAAGAGTAATAACTTTAACAAAAAGGAAAAAAAATAAATCTTCTCGAAAGAAATCTTGCCCTCAGGCGATCGTGATCGTTTGCTTACCAAAAAAAAAAAGAAACGTCGATTCAACACGCTGTAAGACCGGTACTCCTCACACATACAGATACACGTATACCTATATATAAGTGTCATCGTGCCATTCTCGAGGATAGTTGGACACTGCGCATCGAGCGAACATGATAAAGGTAAGAGAAGATTGGAAATTCCGAGACAATAAATATCGCGCGCGTGTTTTCCGCGAGTGACGTCGAATTTGCGTGCCGATCGGTTGATCGCGTAATTCTCACTCAAGAAAAATGAAAATTTCCTTATGAATTCGCTGAAATCGTGATCGCGTAATTTTCTTCAGAGCAAAATGATGAGATTTGATGAAACATGGGAATTACAATAAATTCAAAATTTAAAAAGTAAAGAGTTAGAGAGTTTACATTGATAATTACGTGAACGATTAAAGTGCCACCAACATTTATCGTCAACGTGCTAAATTACCATTTCGAGATTTAATTAGTTATGCTGTGAGTGATACCGTTATTCTGTATTTCAAGATTATTAATAATGTCTCATTGTATATCAGATTAGCATACTTTTATTCACTATTCATCTTCTTCTCTAATTCTTAACGAAGGAAATATTAGATTTAGAGAAAACATCAGAGAGATTTTCTCTCTAATATTTAATCGCAATAAAAAGAGAAGAGAGTCAATCAAAGCTTAAATGCAGATGTAGGTGGATAAATTGTCATAGATTTACGGGCCTACACCTACGTTCGAGTTCTGAGAAAGATTATCTTTTTTCTTCTTATTACAAAACCAAGTATTTTTAGGAAGCTATTGTCAAACCAGGTTATTCTGAGTCTTTGCTAATTTTGCTTGTATCATTGGTAACAAAACCTATAATTATATTTTATGATATTACGTGAATTATATTAATGGTTAGTGTAATCATATGAGCGGAGATTCGTTTAATTTTAAATATCGAATTAATTATATATTTATCGCTGAAAGTGAAGAAACAGTTACTCGTAAAGGGTTCAAATAAATCGTCAGTAATTAATATCATTGCAACATCTCGAAAAGGCACATACAACTGGCAATATTTCAAATGATCAATTAAAAAAAAATTTATATAATATTTTTGTACATTTAATAAAAAATTAGATTGAAATTCGATTTTTTTAGAAATTATTGCAAACAGTTTCTGTAACAAAGCAGAGTTAAAATCTCAAAAATTCGAATGCTATAAATTACAAAAATAGCAATTTTAAATGCCACTGAGTGAAAGACGTAATCATTTTATCGCGACAATCCGTTCTTGCGATTAGCGTTCGGAAAAATTCTTTTCTGTCCGCAGTAAAAATAGCTTTGTCCCGTTCGAAGAATTTCTAGTCAATTGCGAGAAAGTGGGTTATCTTTTAACCTGGTCGAGATTTGGGTCAAGCGAAGTGGAGCCTGAGAGTGTCTATATGAAATAGCACAAGGGTGCGGAGAATCCTCGCACGTATCTATACCTACCTACACCTACCTACGAACGCCGTCAAATTGTCGTCATCCGCTTTAAATTTTCATGTTCATGGTTTCTCGACAAATTCAATCTGCAAGTGATTTCTCCGAACAAAATTCTGTACTATACGAAATCATGCAATTCTACGTATTTTGCGCGATGCAATAAACAGTCATAAATTTGCGACCGCATCGTCTAACTCGTATTTATTTTCGCGTCGATTGTTCGGTGATTCTGAATTAATATCGCGTAAATTCCGCGTGATATACGCCAGGTTAGAAAATAAATCTTGCACGCATGACCCTCTAGTGTGTTGAAGTTTCCTTTCTTTTGTACTATGGCCAGATGTGAGAACGGTACAATGATTTTTAAATCTGGTTATTTCATGTACATTAATATTGTAATTACATATATTAAAATTACTAAATAAAAAAGTATTTTAAAATATATGTTAATTATAATATAATATTTAACATTTAATATCTAGTTAAAGTTTTCATAAACTGAAATTTATTTGAATTTAAGTGAACGATACGATTTTGTTCGTAAAATTTAATTAACTAAAAATATTTTATTTTGATCATTTATAACGAAAGTTATTGAAATCTTGACATCTAACTAAAGAAAGATCCGATTCAAAGTGTTCAACGAGTCTACTGTTAAAATCAAAATCGACGTTGTAAAATGCGTGATTATACTTATAATCATCTTTTATGCGCAAATGAAAATCTCACGTAATTTGATGCAATCACACTGCATTCAAGTGCTTTTTATGCAGTTTCTGATACTATTCCTTGGCATTTACGGGGCATTGGCGGCTCCTCACGCACCCCACGTGAATCATGATCTTCATCTGGATAATAATACGGAAGTGGTTGACGAACAGCTTCCTGGTACGGAGAACCTCAATGAAAAGGCGCTTCCGATATCTCATTTATTTGCCACGGAATCGAGTAATCTGCCGCCAAGGAATAATCTGGCGGAAAGATCTCAGGTGCCTCAAAAACTTCCCGGGACGGGAAATCTGGCGGAAAAACGAATCCCCGATGTTGTTCTGAAGAGATTATTCCAGCTATCTGATAAGTAAAAAAAAAAGAAAATCTGGTGAAAGATGTAATAGCTCCTTCATAACCGTTTAAATATATTTAACTGTTGTTCCTGGCGTTTAAATAAGTCCTGGATAATCCAATCTGCATAAATCTTTTTTGCCAAATATATTGAAGAAAGAAACACTTTTTTATATCAGAAATGTTTTCTTGTAAAAAGAAGAAAAGAATCTTTCAGATAATTGACCATCATATAACGATTATATCATTAATGTGATGATTAAAATATAATATATGTATATATGTAGATCATATTAATAACATAGAAAGTATAAACAAGATACAAATTATCGAAATCACGAGTTAATATATTCTATTGATCATATGATTTATTTTAAAATAAATGATTTTTGCATTATAAAAAGTTGACATAGTTAATCAATTATTTTTGGCAAAACTTAGCCTCTTAAAATAATTACGATATCATTTCATCGCGAAAAATGTATGTATGTATTATAATTACATCGATAAATTATTGTTATTAATCTATTTGAGTTATATATTTATTAGAAAATAACTTTGGGTTATTACGCGAGAACAATGTAATTTCTACCGATAAAACGATTCGCAAGCGAATAAATTCTCGAGGAGAAAATATGCATTTTACATTTTTGTCGCTCTTCTATTATCGTATCTATTAGTATTTTGCGGGATTATTATTATTACTTGCACTAGAATAGCAATTGTATAGACAAAGGAATGGATATTATGCGTTTAATGTTTAGTTTGAAAGAAAAATAAAGAAATGCATTTTATATTAAAAATACAATTATGTCATTCCATCTTTTGTATGTATTTTGTACTATTTTGCTAATATCATCAGCACCATCAGTCGAATTGTAAAGTAGAATTTATACCTCTTACACAATACTAGCATATCTAGATATTATACACAATTTTAGATAAAATATAGTAAGTTATCTTTCTCATATAAGCGAAAAAGACAACAAAAATAAATAACAATATTAAATTTCTATCTTGCTGTTTTCGAAAGATCGTTGCCATGCTATGCTCTTTGCATGGCGTCGCATATGTAACATTTGTCGGTAAAGATGAAAGTATCAGATAAATCATATTTATTATATCGTAATTAAATTGAAATTGAAAATGCAACAGTAACTATGCAATTATACTTATTTTATATTTTTGCTGTTTATGTTATAAATCCAAGATATTAACAATCAATAGCACAATATCATCAGTCAGTATATACGGCTTTCTACTCGTTCTAATTACAGTGAAACTGCCGACAGTGTTTGTATTGATTTGCGCTTGTTATCTATTTCGTTCGAAAGATAACGCCACGAATAAAATTCAGTGGGTTAAATAATAAAGTATTTTAAATACAAACAGAGTAATATAAAATAAAGTTTGAAGAGGATATAAGCGGTATAATTAAAACTTAATAAGAGGTATAATTAAAAATTTAAACAAAAAAAGAGAGATGTCTAATTATACTATATTTCATTGTATTAATCCGACTGAATGATAAAACGAAATAGGGACAAGTATTTATAACAAATTAGATTTTTACATAAATATATTTTTATGCTACAAAGAAATTTCAAATTTGTGTTAAAATAAGAGATGGAAGTGCACAAATATCTTTCATAAAAAACAAATTATAATTATTTATTAACAAATTATAATTATATTTTATTATACAATATAAATGATTGTGCTATTATAATTTGATATGTTTTTATTTAGATTATTTATCTGGATATAATTATTTTTTGCATACAATTAGGCTGTTTCTTCTGTCCAATTAGGCTATTTCTTTCTCTTTTTATTTCTCTTTTTGCGAAAGAAAGCTAAGGTATTTGATATACGATTCAATATGCTGCCCTATTGTAAGATTGACGTGCCATCCTTCAGCTACTGCTATTTCGTACTTGTTGGACATTATTCCGTTGGCGAATAGCACCAAGTCATGGCAGTCCCTCGTACGTGTTGGAACTTTAATCCAGTCGGCGTTTGGATTTAATACACGCAACCGATTAACAGCGAGATTACACAGGGCTCTACGTGCAGTCGTCGAGCTTATGGTAGCTTTAAACTAAAATTAGCTAAACTTCGCGTATCTTCAATATTGCGCCTTATTCTAGCAACGCCTCGTCATGTTGATCGTTAAGCATGAGGATAATAGGATTTTCATCTCTCTCGAAAAACTTGACTTAACCAAGCCTGTCTATATCTGCAATCTACTAACACAAATAGAAATAAAACTCTTCTTCTTTAACAGCTATTATTAATTAGAAATAAAAGAATAGAGAGTTAAGCTAAATTAAAAATTAACTTAATATTGAGATAAAAGTAATTCAATTAATTTATTTCTATATCAGATATTCGGAGTTGAAATTTATTAAAGTTTGTAAATCAATTGAGAATTTTTGTTTAAAATAATTTTGATAAAATTTCGAAACTTTGATCTATTTTAATATAATCAACTTTCTCTCTCTTCTTCGAGCAAAGTATAAAGTAAAATATAAAAATGGAATGATTATATAAATCATAAAAATTCTTAAAATATCTTCGATTTGAAATAACTGAAACTAATGTGAAGCAAATGTGATATCATTTTTAAAGTACATAAAAATATTTCTATACTATAATTTCTCCTTTTATTACAACTATTTCGGTCAAACATATGCGATCTCGTAGTAATATCGCGTCAAAGATTGGTAAACTAGCTTCATGACGCTTATTTCCTCTTCATGCATGCGCTATTACGTATCATTACGGCGCGACATCTTCACGAAGTGTGAAATCTAATATTCATGCCAAGTTGTTGCTTCGAAGCACGTGCCCGTGTCATCTCTCGCGCTCGTGCTTGTGTATATACATCGATACGTGTCGACTTGATCGGGGCACACGCGCTACGCAGGCTAAAGAGAGAAAGAGAAAGAGAAAGAGAGAGAGAGAGAGAGAGAAAGGATTCGAGCAAGCGCTTGCTCCTATAAAGCCGCTAATCTTAACGGAAGGGGATAATGTTTGCACGAGGTAGGTTAAGGGTTGCGCTAGCGGGTTACGGTTTCAGGGGCGAGTCAAAGACACCGACCGCGTCGGTGCAACGGTAATGCCCTTCGGTCATGTGGGTTAACCGGCTTCTAACTTTGACCGACGTCGACCGACATCGACCTGCGCTCGAAATCGGTCGATTAAAGCCGCCCACGCATGTATACACGCAAAATCCGTATGGTGCAGTGACTCTATGTTCAAATACCGATAACTCGTTGAGTAGATATTGGCTACAGAGACACAAAGACTGCCGGTTAACAGTGCGAGAAACCGAACAATTTCAGTCCTTGTTATGTTAGTTTCAGTATATTATATTAAATAAAATGTAATAAAACGGAATAACACATACAAGACAAAAATGGATTATACATTCATATTTAAATAATAATTTTGTATTCAGAGTGAATTTTTACAAATTATACGCATGGTTTGTTTTCGCTCTGTATGTTTCAAGTAATAGATTCATTTCTCTTGTACAGGAGTTAACGACGCATCCATTTATTGAAGAAAACACGGTACCGAAAAAGCACTACGCTTACTTGCTTTTACTATATTGGATTGCGATTCGGCGGAGTTACGTAGTGCTACGATTTCGATGAACGGAGTTAATATCGTTGCGCCAAAGTTGACTGTTCCTCGTCGAATGGCAACGCGACACAGAATGCATTATAGTGTTTTAATATATTATTCTTTTATCATAATATTTTTTCCTTCTATGATTTCCGACTATAATCGAATAAATTAACATTTTTTGCATATAATTATTAATATTTTTTAATTAAACTTTTACATAAAAGTCGGTATACAAAGAATTAAATAAAAAAGAATCCGCAACACAGAGTTTCCTAAAGCTGCATGTTTAAAATGGTGCATACGTTTTAGCGAAATAGTCTCCAGTACGAAGTCATAACATTTTAAGTTGTACAGGGGCACGTGAGGAGACTCATTAATGGAAAATGTTACGCGGAGTAGCTAGGTAAATGCACGTGTTATATATGTTTATGCGCAATATCGTTGGAAATAAGTTTCGTGAGCATTTATATAAACATGCGTCGCATATTTATGTATATTTTATAAAAAAATTTGTAGAAAATTTTTAAGAAATTTAATAGTGCAGGTTATCTGATAATTTTTTGAAAATTGTTAGTTGTTTAAAGATCTTTATCACTGCCTTGATTTTCATGCAAAAGCAGTTTGCATAATTCACTAAGAAGCATGACATGATTTAAAATAGCAACAAGTATTATTGTATATTTATTTAAAAAACATTTAAATTTTTTTAATTTAATGATTAAATTATCGACAAATTTCAAACTATGTTAAAATTAAACTTTAATCTACAATTTGATAAAATTGAGATATTTGCCTCGTGATATCGGACCTCTCTTGTCATCTCTGTGTTAGTTTTTACTTTCTCTCTTTCTCTCTCTCTTTCTCTCTCTCTCTCTTTCTCTCTTTCTCTTTTCCCTCTCCTCATACTTTATAAAGTAATTTTATCTTTTCACAGGGAAATGTAGTATCGTTTACTTTGGAAAAATTATTAATATAAATATTCGAAGAATGTGTATAATAACATATATATATATTTACATATATATTTTTATGGATAACATATATATAAAATTTAAAAAAGTTAATATATATAAAATAAAAGACTTA